GAGAGAGAGAGAGAGAGAGAGAGAGAGAGGTTAAAATTGCTACAACATTGAAATATTGCAACTATTTTATTATACATAATAGTAATTTATTTTAAACATAAATAATTTTATTATTATTAGCAATTAAAATGCTAGATAATAAAATTAATTTACAATTTGATTACATAAATAAAGCAAATTATTGCCAGCATTAGTGGCCCCACAACTCGCACACGACATGTATATAAATTATGCCGAATGGGGACCCATTGGATCGCAAATTGTTTTTATCCACAAAAATGACATTTATTATAAATCCGATGCAAACGCAGCGCCAATAAGACTCACAAATTCAGGCAAAGAAATGGTTATATATAACGGATTACCCGATTGGGTGTACGAGGAAGAGATCTTCAACGAGCCGAAGACTTTTTGGTTATCACCGGCGGGAACAAAGTTGGTCTACACCACCATCGATGACAGCGCTGTCGACTTAATGACGTGGCCGTACTATAGCACCGGCAAATTGCCCCAGGGTTATTATAATCAATACACTAAAATCGAGAAGGTCAGGTACCCTAAACCCGGTCGATCCAACCCTACGATTAAGCTTCATTACATCGATTTGACTCAATTGCATGACTATAACGGCTCGATCGGTAAACTGACCGTTCATTTAAAGCCACCCAAAGATATCACAGATTATGGGTTTGTATTGAATTTATTGACTAAAACAAAGTGAACTTTATTTAAAAGTATGCATTATTTATTTATAGAGATCATTATCTGACAACATTAAAATGGATAGATGACAATGTTGTGGCTGCGAATTGGATGAACCGAGCTCAAAACTTCTCGGTCATGACCTGCTATAGTAGTCGCGCCAATTTGGAGCCAATCTCTGTATAATCAATCGTTATTTTGTGTCAAAATTAATGCATGATTATTAAACTTGGTTTTAATTTGTCAAGAATTTCAAATTACAATCGAGTAATGGATGGATTGACTTGTTTAAGCCGCCTGTCGTCACACCAGACCGCGAGTCCTATATATTAAGAGTACCCAAAATGAGTGACAACAAGAAGGATGTGTTTCCACATATCGCCAAAGTGTCCGTTTCGGTGAGACATTCAATCCGATTCTTGTAATGCATTACACAATGCAAGCGATGAATAACTGAACAAAACATTTGTGTCAATCAAATAGTCGGCCGAATCATCATTTTTAACGTCCGGTATATTTGAAGTCAAAGAAATCCTTAG